AGAATTCACTGCCACAGGAGGTGGTGGTGGCGGCTACAAGCATGGACGGCTTCAAGAGGGAATTAGATAAGCATATGGAGCAGAGGTCCATCAGTGGCTATTAGCCACAAGGTATAGATAGGAACTCTCGATCTGGGGCAAGTGATGCTCTGTCTTCTTGGTGCTTGGGGGGGGGCAACAGTGGGAGGGGCTTCTCGTGTCCTGGCCCCACTGGTGGACCTCCTGATGGCCCCTGGTATTTTTGGCCACTGTGTGACATAGAGTGTTGGACTGGACGGGTCTTTGGCCTGATCCAACATTGGCTTCTCTTATGTCCTTATGTCCGAGCGCAATGTCTCACCTGGTGCCCCACGGTCTTCTTATGCTCCTTGTTGGCAGCTTTCACAGTCGGGCGGGCAGAGCGAACGTTGATTTTTGAGGAAGCTCCCTTCCCACCGAGGGCCCCCGCCTTTGCATCCTTCCCGTCGTGAAACAAGTCGGCCACCATCGGGTACTGGAAGGAAAAGAGAAAGGCTGTGTGGGCGTTTAAAGGCTCTGGCTAGGGCAGGCGCCGGGCAAGGCAGGGATTCTGATCACAGAGCAAAGAACCATTCCGTAAAAGGGGATTAAAACAACAGTCCCCCGTCCCCCCCGTTGTGCTCCACGTAATGAGTACCATTGCAAATGCAATGAGGACATTATATGCTGTCTTTGCTAAGGTTTTCCTGTTGGTGAAAAAGGGGATTAAAACAACAGTCCCCCTCACCCCCCCGTTGTGCTCCACATAATGAGTACCATTGCGAAGGCAATGAGGACATTATATGCTGTCTTTGCTAAGGTTTTCCTGTTGGAGATCTGCTGCTGTCCGGGGACTCTTTTAACAGAACCACTTTCTAGGAAGGTATGGCTACAGAAAAGTTAGGACAACGGTGGGTGGAAAAAAAGAGCAATCACGATGGATCAGACCAATCTAAGACCAAGCATTCAGCATCTCTCACTGGCCAAGCAGATGCCCTGGATGGCTTACAAGCAGGACGAGTCACGTAAGCCGGGCGAACACCACCCGCAAGGTAGCGGCAATGGCAATGACCTACACTGCAAGGCAGTCCCAAGCAGTGTTGCCTCTAAGTGAGTTAGTGTGAGCTAGCTCACAGTTTTTTAGCCTCCGGCTCACAGATTCTTCTCTTGGCTCAGGAAGGATGGCTCCAGAGCAAACTAATTTATGCAGTAGCCAAATCGCCCGCTCACAACGTGAATGCCAGTAGCTCACAAAATAGAATATTTGCTCACAAGACTCCATAACTTAGAGGGAACATTGGTCCCAAGGATTACAAATATAAAGTATGTGAAAGGGAAGACAGATGTATGTCAAATCCTCATGTCAGTCAGTCAGTCAGTCACTCACTCACTCTTTGTTACAGCCCACAAGTCATTCAGAAGCAGAGTCCAACAGATTAAAAACACGAATATAACATTAATTACTACATAAAACCTCTCAATACATTGCTTATCTAAAAACACCTACAGATAAAAGGTTAGAATCTGAGTAAATAATGCACTAGACATTATCTCAGCTCGTATTTTCATTGCATAACATAGAAACTTTGCCCCAGAAACAGTAGTTTGTTTTTTTAATCAACCCCTGCCTATGTTAGAGTTTTCTGCTCTGCGAACATTTTCTTATCGGCCAACAGAAGTTCTAGTAAATCCAAGTTCTAGTAAATCCAAGTGTGCCTGTACATAGGATTTACAGTGGAAAATCATGTGAACTGAAGTTGCATATCATCATATCTGTGCTCTGAACATGCTTCTAAAGCCAAAGATGAAAGCTACATATCAAGAATGAATGAGTGTTGAGCAATCATGCGCAAAATCCCGAACACATGAAACTCGCCTTATACTGATTCAGATATTCATTCAGATAATTAGTCTATCAGGGTCAGTACTGTCTACTCTGACCGTCAACGACTCTCCAGGGTCTCTTTCACATCATCTGTTCCCTGTCCTTTAAACACCAGATGCTGGGGACTGAACCAGGGATTTTCTGTATGCAAAGCAGATACTCTACCACTGAGCCTCTCACCAAATCTCATCAGCCCCTCCCCAATACTTCACTTTGATCTGAGAAGACCTGGATTCAGATGCCACCTTGGCCATGGGATGATTCTACTTCAGTCTTACTTTGCTATCTGTACAATGAGAAAGATAATCATAACAACAGCCACCTTAATATGGCTGTTGTCTGGCTGTATCCAGTATCCAGCTAAGGTTTATACAGCATCCTTCAGCCTGGCTAAATGACAGATGGGGAGGTACATGCTTGGCTCCTCCCAACATCTCTTTGCAAATAGAACCACACTGGTTTCCTCTTAGATTTGTTGGTACCTTTCACATTTGAAACATATTACTCATATTCGATTAAGGCGGATTTACATAATTTCCAAACAACCCAAAGGGATCGGACCCTTCCTTTACGCTTTTTTTTTTAAACAACCCCGCTCTCTTTTTTTTTTTAGGTTTCCTCTTCTGAAGTCAAGTTGTGTTGGACTTTTGCAGCATCCTTCTATGTTGAACATATCAACACTGGGGGGGGGGTCGCTGCTCCTAGTCAATTTAACAAAAGTAACATCTCACAGCAGGCCCTGAGTACCACTTGGAACCAGGGTCCCCTCATTTCTAGCTGGTTCCATGAAAAACTGCTCCCTAAACAGTGGAATGGTGGATTTATGGTGGAATGTATCCACCATGTATGGTGGAACGTATCCACCCCACTATAAGTGATCAGTTTTCCTCAAGACCAAGGAGTCTTCCTCCAGCCTGAGTGGTTCTTCTGTTGGAGAAATCCAACTTAAGCTGGCTTCAAACTTTGCTTAGTGCTATGGTTGGATACATCCCAGCATCAAAAAATTTATGGTTCTTTCTCCAGATCTGAGCACACTTGGGCCTCATCAATGTGATGGTAGTTGAAGTCAACCATTAGTACACGACTTTCTTCCTTTGCTTGTCTTCCTTATTTCCTTCTCCATTTCAAGATCGCTGTGAGTGCTTTGGGTTTAATACTTCTCCCCTAATGCCACTAGCTCCACCAGAAATGGCCCTGCGGTGCTATTTATCCCACTGGAGGAAACGGGCTATGATATCGGTGCCTGTACATCTTCCCCAATGGGACAAATTGCAATTCCACGGGGAGAGAAAGGATTACATTTCCATTCCCCTATGTCTAGCAGTCTGGAGCTGAATTGGGGCCCTAGGTTGCTGTCAGTGGAAAAAATAAATAAAATGCCTGTGATCAGCCCGCAGAATTCCCAGTGCCGCATCCAGTTAAGCCTTCTACACAATGAAAGTGCTTTAGAAAGCATCCGTAATGAGTCATCTACCCTTCCTTCTCTCTCTCTCTCTCTCATGCATTTTATGAAAGGGCTTGACGAGCAACTACCACAGCGATTATGGCACTCTTGGAACCACTTGAAAAACAATTGGGCCCCAAACGGGACGTAGGAGCAACACCGACGAACTTTTTGAAACTCTCACAGCAAGTCCCTCGCATGTTCTCTACCTCACAACACTTCTGTTTGCCCCAGTTTGAAATGCTGACCAGAGACGCACACTTAAAAACAACAGGCAACCAGAGTCAGCCTTTCCCCCCACAAGCACTGCCTTTATTAAGATGGCATTTGTGATTTATCATCAGCGGCTCCCGGAGATTAATTGGCTTAACCTTGTTTGCCTATCTGCCAAAAGCCCACCGAGGAAAGAAACTGTTTGCATTTTATTATCATCTGGCTTGACGTGAGACTGTGCATTTGTTTCAGCCTCCCCGAGGTTTTATTTTAATCTCACCCGCCTACGAGATTCTTTTGTCTGGCTCCCTGCCTATGGCAAGCCTCTCTGTTATTAGCCAGCGACTTTGGATCGCTCTCCTCTGGTTCTAGAAGAAGAAGAAGAAGAAGAAGAAGAGATTGGATTTATACCCCGCCCTTCACTCGGACTCTCAGAGTGGCTTACAAACTCCTTTCCCTTCCCCTCCCCACAACAGACACCCTGTGAGGTGGGTGGGGCTGAGAGAACTCTGACACAAACTGCTCTTTTTCAAGGACAGCTGTGCCAGAGCTTGTGACTGACCCAAGGTCACATCAGCAGGTGCAAGTGGAGGAGTGGGGAATCAAACCTGGTTCTCCCAGATTAGAGTCTGCACACTTAACCACTACACCAAACTGGCTCTACACCAAACTGATCTACAGCTAGATCAGTACGTCCGGAGAAATGAATAATCTGCCAGCCAACTGCTGTCCTATTTTTTATCTGTCAAGGCCTGCAATGGTTCAGATGATGCATGGTGGAGCATCTATATAGTTCTCAGAAGTGGCAAACCCCCAGACCTAAAATCAGAGGCAGGGACACACAGCAGAGGCTAACGGCAGCAGAAGTTTGGCTCCAAAGCATGAATAAAACCCGGAGCCTGGCAGCTGAAAAACCAACAATGGGATGGAGGGCATTGTGTATGGCAGAATATCAGGGATCTAAATACCTGAGGGACCGCCTTTCCCCACATGTCCTCCAGAGAGCACTGCGATCAGGGTCTCAACCCCAACTCACCCTTCCTGGACCAAAGGATGCCAGACTAGCTTCAACCAGGGCCAGGGCTTTCTCGATGGTGGCTCCTCTCTGGTGGGACAAGCTCCCAGGGGAGATCATGGCCCTGCGGGACCTTATGCAGTTCCGCAGGGCCTGCAAGACGGAGCTGTTCTGCCAGGCGTTCAATTAGGAGCTGCCCCGGGAGAATGCCCTGTCCACTGAAATCTTTGAGGCAGCCTGAGCTACCCGCATAATATTAGATCGAGATCGACCACCAGGATGGCACGGAAGTCTGAGCACCATCCCAAATGTAATGCTGAACTTATCCATTTAACAATATTACTTATTGTTAGCACCTTTTAATGTTGTAATTGTTACATAGTTTTTATGATTATTATACTATTTATTGTTGTTTTTATCCTGTTGTAAGCCGCCCTGAACCAGCCACAGACGAAAGGGCGGGGTATAAATGTAATAAATAAATAAATAAAAATATGCCCTGGGACAGAGGTTGGGCAGGGAGTATGAGAAATGAGGGACTTGGTCAGGGCTGGCGTCAGCACATGGCCAGGTGGAGCAGCTGCCAGGGGCCCACGGCTCCTGGTGGGTCCCACTGCTGTTGACAGTCCCTAGCATGCCATCTCCCTGCCTGCTCACTTATGAGTGTTTTGCCACCCATGCATCCAGCTGCACAAACTGCCCCGTGCCATCAGGGAAAGGGCTGAGGACAGTGCAGATTAGGGGTGTGAGGTCGAATCTACCTGAGCCAAAAATATACTCAAAAATATACCTTATTGGTATTTTTCGGGTATATTTAGGCATCCAAAATATATTCGGGTTTTCTCGGGAAAATCAAAAAGAATCCCTGAAAAAAATCCTGGATATATCCGGGAATTACCATGTAGGTCTGAAAACGGCAGAGAGGCAGTAGCAGATCGG